GAAGAGAAGCAACCACTTGCTTTATTTTTCCCTTCCCTGGCTTAAGAGTCCATGGAAAGCTATTCCTATTAATTTGTTTTCTTTGACTGTTAATATATTTGAGAAAGGATTAAAAGGAAATACTGTATTAAAATAGTAAAATAAAGAGACTTTGCAAAGTTTGCCAGAGATCTGAAGTTTACCTAGGGCCTCAGGGATCAGTACAGCCAAGCAATAGAATTTTATGTTAAGTATAATTTCTCCAAACGTTGCCTTCTTTGATTCTTTATAGTAAGTGTGACATTGACTACAGATATTAGGCCCACAAATATATTGTAAGGGCATTTTCATCTTCTCTGAGTGACGAATGCCTTTGCAGACTGGCTAATAGGCACGTGTCCGCACACATCTCAGTGGTTCCTTCTATTTTGAATTTCCCTTTACAAGTTGTCTTTGATCCTCCCACTTTGTACTTAGAGTTGGATCACTTCTGTAAAGCAAGTGGACCATTTTGCTTGATGTGGATCTATGGCAAGTAGTCCAGAGTCATTTTCCCCAGACTTTCCCATTCCCAAGCAATGTGCTCCAGCAGTATAGATTGGCCTATAAACTATGGGGCAGATCATCTAAGTAGCCCCTTGATACCTTCTGAGGAAAAGTGAGTAACACACACCGGCAGGGAAGCAAGAATGCTTTAAAGAGAAGAAACCGAAGCGTGTGGTAGCCTGTGAAGCCTTGAGTAAAGGGCCTGTACATGTTTAGTTTTCTATCCTACGCCTAGCTCACACTGGGGTCCTACTGCCACTGTTTGCTGAATTGAAGAAATGGATGTTTGTTTTGCTTCTTGGAAGATGTTCTCTATTAAACATTTTGCCAGAAACCCAGGTTCTTCTCACCTAAGTGACAGTGTTTGTTTGTTTTTCTATTTTTTGTTATTGTTTTTTAGGGGGAGGGAAAGCTTTATTTTTTTTAAAATCTTTACCCAAGGATATGGTTTTGATTTTAGACAGAGGAAGAGAGACAGAGGAGAGAGAAAGAAAGAAAGAAACATTGATGTGAGAGAGAAATATCTATCAGTTGCCTCCTGCGTGTGCCTCACTCAGGAATTGAACCTGCAACTTTTTTGGTGTGCAGGATGATGCTCCAACCGAGCTACCTGATCAGAGCATCATGACAAAGTCTTTATTAGGGAGAAGAATAGCTTTGTTTTTCTATTAAGAATTAGGAAGAAAACTCTAGTTCTTCATCAAACATTGGTTCAATTTTAGTTCTACCTTTTATTTTATTTTATTTTGAATTATTTATTTTCTTTTCCTGAATTACTGAGTTGAATTCTTAGCTCATGGTTTTTCAGGGATTATTCTTTAGTTATATAAGCATTTAAGTCTAGCATTTCTCACTGTAGCCATATCCCATAAATTTGTGTTATAGTATTTTCATAATTGTTCAGTATAAAGTATTTTAAAATTTTAAATTTTTTTCACTGAACCATGAATTATTTACAAGTAGCTTGTTAAGTAATACATGTTTGGGGAAGGTTATCTATGTTATTGATTTCTCATTTATTGCATTGTGATTTGTATAACACAGACTTTTTATATTCATTGAGATTTGCGTTGTGACATATTATAATATAGTCAGCATTCATAGATATTTTATATATTTTTGAGAATAATGTATCTTTGTTTATCTCCATTGGACCAAGGTTGTGATTAGTGTTTCTATCTTTTCTCTCCAAGCTGATTGTTATGTTGTTTGATCTGTCAGGTTCTGAGAAAGCTGAACTAAAATGTCTCTATGTTTGTGGATTGAATGTAAATTGAGGTTATCATAGTAAGCACACACAAGTACAAAATTGTTATATCTCCTTAGGGGAATAATTTATTCTATTAATTGAGGTTTATTTTATACTTAATAATGATTTTTCTGGCTTTATTTTGTCTTCTCTGCTTGGTATATATGTTAGTATTCATTTACTTTCAATATTTAGGTACTTTTAGTTTAAAAAAATTTTTAAAAGCATATAGATTTTTAAAATACAGTCTGGTTACCACTATATATTTCAAAGGTGTCTTATTTGGTGCTTTCTATTCACCTTGCTTTATGTTTGTGTATTTTTTCATTTTTACCTTTATAGATAGGATCAATAAAGTTTTAATGTACCTTCCCTCTGCTAATTCTGAAGTTGTATATATTATTTCTCTACTTTAATAATAATGCTTACATTTCTCATGTACATAATTTAAAAATCTGCCACCTTTCTCTTGAATAAATGCAATGCCTTAAAATATCTCTTCATCCTACATATTACTACCATTCAGCATTTTTGAATCATCTTGCTTTTGTAAACTCCAAGTTAGTTGTTATGATTTTTGTTTTGAACAATCAATTCTTTAGATTTATAACATATTTTTAAGTTTCTTCATTCACTGTTGCTTCTTGTATCTCATTCTTTCCTTTTGCATTGAATTTCCTCTTTCTGAATTATATCTTGAGGAAGATCTGACAGTGAGAGTCTATTTGTGGTAACTCCTTTGTCCTTCTAAATGAAGATATATTTATTTTGCCCTAATAGTTTACTTAGATTTAAAAAAATTCTAGGTTGAAAGTTATTTGGCAATATTATTCTATTTTTTCTATGTTCAATTGTAGCTTAGAAGTTCATTGTCTGTCTTGTCATCCCTTAAAACCTGTTTGTCTATTTTCTCTGGTTACTTTTAAGAGTAGTTTTGCCTTATTGAGTTTAGATTTGTGTATCATTTAACTTACTCTGTACAAGGCTTGTTTTATTTCCTGAATCTAAGGATTCATGTTTTGGATCAGAATTGGATAATATTATTCATGATTCTCTTGTCTCTCTGGGTATGCATTTGTTGTACTTCGGCATTCTGTCATCCATGTTGCTTAACCTCTCATTCATATTTCCCATGTCTTTAACTTTTCTTATTTTTTTTTGAGTTGTGGAGTTTTGTTATTTTTCTTTTTTAAAATTTATCTTTATTGAAAGTATTACAGATGTCCCCCTTTTTTTTTCCATTGACCCCTTCCACCCTGTACCCACCCCTTCTGGTTCTTCACCACACTATTGTCTGTGTCCATGGGCTATATATATATGCATACAAATTCCCTGGTTAATCTTTCCCTATTCCTCCACCCCATCTTCCCTCTGTTTATTTTTTATTCTGGGCAATTTTCTCACATTTATCATCCTGTTTACTATTTTTCACTTCAGATGTATTTATTCAAGTGTTTAAACTGTCCATTGAGTATTTAATTTGTCATGATAGTTGTCATTTCTAGAAGTTGTATTTGGTTCTTTTTCAAGCCTGATTTTTCTTTCTTTTTTTAAAAAAACTATATTTTATTGATTTTTTTTACAGAGAGGATGGGAGAGGGATAGAGAGTAAGAAACATGGATGAGAGAGAAACATCCATCAGCTGCCTCCTGCACACCCCCTTCTGGGGATGTGCCCACAACCAAGGTACATGCCCTCGACTGGAATCGAACCTGAAACCCTTCAGTCCGCAGGCCACCGCTCTATCCACTGAGCCAAACCGGTTAGGGCCTGATTTTTCTTAAAAAGTTTTTTATTCCTTCTTTTATATCTTTAATCATTTTAAGCATATTTTATAGTTTATATTTGAAACTTTTGTAATTTAATATCGCCCTGCATTGTATCTGCTATATCATGGTGAATTGTATTTTAAGTTTCATATACAGAGCATGTCTTTGACAGAGCTTTATGGGAATACCACAGTGGGGCGTGGGTTGTGGACACGTTCTGTGGAATAGGTTTTTGTTTGCTTTTCCTTGTGTCCATGGATATTTCAGCCCAGTTCCAATTTTGAAGTTAATTTCTTAGCATGAATGTTCCCAGAACATGTATATGATGTAGAGGGCAACTCCAAACTTAAACTTCTGTGTACTACAGGCCCATAGTTACACATTCTTGGGAAAACTTTACCCTCATCCTAAACTCAGTTTAAGAGAGAGACTGATTTTCTTTTTCTGATGGGTATTGGCGGGCAGTTAAAATAATCTACTTTTATTTCTGGCCCTGGGGGATTTCCATTACTTTCCTGCAAGTGCAAAAAGGATGTTTGTTCTATTTTATTTAGCATTCATTTAGTAGCAAGAGGTTTTGAAGAAAATAAACATGCCATGTTGCCAGACCCAGAAGTCTGTGGGAAATCACTTCCATTGATTTTAAAATAAACCATGTAATGTGGAGTAATTTCAGTGTACCATTTACATGCAATGTATTTTAGAATATGAAACATTTTGGGATTAAAAATCTATTCACTTACTTCCTTGTTTTAAGCCACCTAGGAACTATTTTTTCTAAATTTGCACTGGAAATTTCTTGAGACCCTGTTCAATCCTAAATCCTTTATTGGAAACTTGAAGAAAGTGAGTACAGAATAACAGGAACAGAGGCTATTTGTGTATTTGTCAAAGCTCTGTTAGGAACAAGTAACAGAAATTCAACTTCAAATGGCTTAAGTAAAAAGGGATAATTGTTGACTCAGATAAACAAAAAATCCTGGAGTTTATTTATATACGACTAAGTTGACATGTTCAGAAAATGTAATTAGAATCAGTCTTTTTAAATTTCTTGGGTCTAGTTTTCTCTGTGTTGGCATCATTGTAATTTGGATTCTCTCCTGTGGTAGCAAGATATTTTCCAACAGCTTCAGTTAAAAAGTGTTTCTCTTTCCCAGTCTCGCAAATATTCTGGGACTGTGGCTTATTGGCCTGTGTTGAGTCACCTGTCCATCCCTAACGAATCCAAGTGGCTGAGAAGTGATATGCTCTGATTAGCCTGGTCCCTGGAGTTGTGGCGTGGAGTCAGCTTTGGTCAAACCACACAGGCTGAGAATGGAGGAGAGCAGTTCTCTGGGAGAAAAGTCAGAGTGCTGTCATCAGAAGAGATGGGGATGGAAGCTGGGTACACAAAGTATAAAACAAATGTCCTCAACAATCTGTCTAATTGCTTGTTGGTTTTTGCTGTTCCTTTCAGGACAGTGTTGAGTTCAGAAACATCTGCAGTCATCTGGCTCTACAGATCGAAGGACAGCAGTTTGACAGAGATTTGAATGCTGCTCACCAGTGTTTGAAGACGATAGTTAAGAAGTTGATTCAGTCACTTGCTAACCTTCCTTCTGATGCTCATGTGGTAGCCTGTGCTTCGTTGAGACAGATCTTACAGAATCTCCCAGACATATGAGTGCTCAGGACACTGGAATCAAAACCACAGCTAAGCACTGCTAAGAAAACTAGGGACCTTACCTTCCTAATTGAATCAGCAAACAATGGCTGTTTTGATTCTCACTAAAGAGACACTTGATACAATATATAGCAATCTGACCAGTGGCATCTGTGCCCTTATAGCATGTTGGTGAAGAATTTTTGAAACAGTACTTCACATTTTTAAATATGTTGTCATATTTGATGACTTTCTTTGATGGAAACATATTCTACTTTGTGGAACTAATTGGATTCTATATGTATATAAATATTTATTAATCCATATTAAGTATTCACTTTAATTGAATGATACATGAATCTATATTTATATTCATGTAGACCTATGAGGTTTAATATGGTGGTTATTCATATGATTAAAGATACATGTTTCTTCAATTATCTTGAATAAATGGGGTGTTGGTAATTGATAATTGTACTTACTGAGCACTTTATTTTTTGTTATGAGACTGATTTCGAGCTATTGTAGGACCACATATGTTGGTAATTATGAGTCCCAGTCCTGGCATTAATAACTTACTGTTGGGCAGGAGGAGAGCTGCTTCTAAACCTTGTGCTTTCATATACTGCTTTGTAAATTTTGAATGATAATGAGCTATGAAGTACCAGGATTATATGGTATGTGAATACAAATACTACAGTATTATTAAAGTCATATGGAAACATCTAGCCCTTCTTACTGTTTCTAAATATTCCACTTGAAGTAGGAAATTCTTGTGAAAAATAGGAGGGGTTGAATATACTGGCAGGTTTCCCTAAATATTTATAGTTATGCAAAAAGAGGGTGACTATTTCCACAACAATGATCTGCACAAGCTTAGGAGAAACTACATTTCTTGTTGTTTAATGATGACTATGTTGAAAACCAAAGTACATTGAAATGCTACTTTCCCCTTAAAAATAAAATAGAAATGACATCAGATTTAGAAAAAAAAGAGTACAATGTATTTGTGCATCTTGTTTCCTAGAGGAATGAAAAACTGGGTCTGTATGGTGAGAGTACATCTACTATTAAAAAAGAAAGTGTTAATAGTGTGTACGAAAGGGGCCACATGCTGACCTGACAAGCTCAGGGGAGGCCTGCATGGCAGTCTTGCAAACTCAGAGCCCTAAAGTAACCACAAAGGATGGTCTGAAATTAAACTTTAACTAAAAGCAGTTATGGTGGGCAGTTACGTCCTAGGCCAGTATCTTCACTGACAAGGTCAACCTTTACCTTAACTGAGCCTATCTGTCTTTTTGCATCTATGATAACATACCCTTGAAATGTCTGGGTAACTTGTGACTTCCCTGTATCTGGAGCCCCTAGGGCACAACCAAATGCGCTAGGTACCAGGACAGATACCACAAATTCCTTCATCATCATGTTAATTGTTCCTGCACCCACCTAAATATGTGTCCATCATTTTACTTTTTATCCAATCCCAGGGGTTTCCCTGCTTTGCTTTATCCCTCCTCCTTAATCTATCACCAATGAATTTCATGTAACCCACCTATGTACCTCCTTTGATTGAAATGTATAAATACAAATGTAATCCCGCCATTCTCCAGAGCACTATCTCAATTCATTGAGGTTCTGCTTCCCGGCATATGTCGACAGTTTGGCTCAAATAAACTCACCAAAAATTCTTTACAGGTTTCAATGTTTTTTTTTTACGTTAACAATAGTAATCAAAGCCTTTTAAATCCCACATACTCTAATCCTATTGCTTCCAAATATTTTCTTCCAGAATCTGAGGATGAAAGGTAAATATATTGCTTTTCTGTAAATGTAGCTGACCATTTTCATAGCAGAAAATTAAATATACGAAACAATTCTAAATGAAAGATGAAAGGTGTGTGTGTGTGAGTGTGTGTAAGGCAGTGGTTCTCAACCTGGGGGTCGCGACCCCTTTGGCGGTCGAACGACCCTTTCACAGGGGTCACCTAAGACCATCCTGCATATCAGATATTTACATTATGATTCATAACAGTAGCAACATTACAGTTATGAAGTAGCAACAAAAATAATTTTATGGTTGGGTCACAACATGAGGAACTGTATTTAAAGGGCCAGAAGGTTGAGAACCACTGGAGGGAAAGTGGGTCAGAAAGGAAGAGCATTTATTTCTTGGGAATAGTTTTTGCCTTTTAGTTCTCCTACTCCTAGGACACTTCATGTCCTGAGAGTATTACTGTCTTTTATTGCTCAGTCTTTCTCTAGGGAAATTACCCAGGACTCTTCGCTAAAGACCTGTCATTATTTGTAGGCCGCTTTCCCAATTGTGAACTGTAGCTTTCTCAATCAACATCAATATTAAGGTTTTTTTCTCTTACCTCAAGAAATGTTGAGTGTTTTTGTTTTTTTATTCATGCTTGTGCTTTCCCCCCACTTTGCAGTGTGTTTCCCATAGACCAATTAAAATATCATGTATCTTTCTAGACCTTATTTGCCCACCCCCAACCTCCATGAACCCTCCTGGGACATCCTACTAGGACTTGGGCTCTTCCTTCTGTGAACTCACATGAAGTACATTTTGTGATACCGAGCAGGCATTTATCATATACTATCTTATAGCAAGGCTGTCCAAGATTGGCTTGGTGAGGGCAGGCATCTTGACATTTTGTATATTATACAGCAGCTACAGTTCTAAAAGTTCTTAGACCTTACTATAATTTCCATTGCCCTTACCACCTTTTTGCACCCCCCACCCCAATTCTTACTTTTGTAGCTTACTTTCTATGGTCAGTCTGTATAACATTTGATTGTATATGCCACCAATTTCCTTCTGTTATTTTCCTTTGGTTGAATGCTATGGTAAACTCCATTCCTGATCAAGACCAACTCTGCCTACTCCATGTCTGCACATGGGTTTATTTTGTTTAATTGGTGAAGGAAACTTTATTATTTTTTTAATTTTTAAAATTTCTCTTTTTATTTAAGTACAGTTGATATATAATATTAGTTTCAGCTGTACAAAATAATGATTTGACATTTTTATACCTTAAATATGATCACAGTGCAAACTTATCACAATATTATTGACTATATTCCCATCATATTTTTCACCCACCGCTCCACTCCTTCCTCTCTGGTAACCATCCATTTAGTCTCTGTTTTTATGGGTCTGTTTTTGTTTTGTTTTTCAGATTCCACATATAACTGAGACCATACAGTATTTGTCTTTCTCTGTCTGACTTATTTCACTTAGCATGATATTCTCTAGGTCCATTCATGTTGTTGCAGATGGCAAAATTTCATGATTTTTTCTATTTTATAGCAGCTTTATTAAAATATAATTCATATACCATACAGTTCACCCATTTAAAATGTATAATTCAGTGGTTTTTAGTATATACACAGAATAGTGCAACCATTATCACAATCAATGTTAGAACATTTTCATTACTCCAAAAAGATACCCAGTGCCCATTAGTAGTCACTCCCCATTTTTTCCCAAACCTCTTCTTTTTTGGTTGTTTATTTTTTAATAACTCTTTGCTTTAGCTTTTTATCCCAGTCAAATAGGGGTTTACTACTTTGGAGCTCTGACTTTCTTTCTTTCTTTTTTTTTAAATTAAATCTTTATTGTTCAGATTATTACAGTTGTTCCTTTTTTCCCCCCCATAGCTCCCCTCCACCTGGTTCCCACCTCACTCTCGGACCTTACCCCCGCACCCCCACTGTCCTCATCAATAGGTGTACGATTTTTGTTCAGTCTCTTCCCGCATCCCCCACACCCCTTTCCCCCCTGAGAATAGTCAGTCCACTCCCTTTCTATGCCCCTGATTCTATTATATTCACCAGTTTATTCTGTTCATCAGATTATTTATTCACTTGATTTTTAGATTCACTTGTTGTTAGATATTCATTTGTTGTTCATAATTTGTTTTTGTTTTTTAATAATTAAATCTTTATTGTTCAGATTATTACATTTGTTCCTCTTTTTTCCTCCCATAACTCCCCTCCTCCCAGTTCCCACCCCACCCTCCGCCCTCACTCCCCACCCACTGTCCTCATCCATAGGTGCATGATTTTTGTCCAGTCTCTTCCCGCATTTCCCACACCCCTCCCCCACCCAAGCATAGTCAGTCCATTCCCTTTCTATGTCCCTGATTCTATTATAATCACCAGTTCATTCTGCTCATCAGATTATTTATTCACTTGATTCTTAGATTCACTTGTTGATAGATGCATATTTGTTGTTCATAATTTGTATCTTTACCTTTTTCTTCTTCTTCCTCTTCTTAAAGGATACCTTTCAGCATTTCATATAATACTGGTTTGGTGGTGATGAACTCCTTTAGCTTTTCCTTATCTGTGAAGCTCTTTATCTGACCTTCAATTCTGAATGATAGCTTTGCTGGATAAAGTACTCTTGGTTGTAGGTTCTTGCTATTCATCACTTTGAATATTTCTTGCCATTCCCTTCTGGCCTGCAAAGTTTCTGTTGAGAAATCAGCTGACAGTCGTATGGGTATTCCCTTGTAGGTAACTGAGTTTCTTTCTCTTGCTGCTTTTAAGATTCTCTCTTTGTCTTTTGCTCTTGGCATTTTAATTATGATGTGTCTTGGTGTAGTCCTCTTTGGATTCCTTTTTTTGGGGGTTCTCTGCGCTTCCTGGACTTGTAAATCTATTTCTTTCACCAAGTAGGGGAAGTTTGCTGTCATTATTTCTTCAAATAGGTTTTCAATATCTTGCTCTCTCTCATCTTCTGGCACCCCTATTATTCTGATGTTGGTACGCTTGTAGCTGTCCCAGAGGCTCCTTACACTATCTTCACACTTTCGGATTCTTTTTTCATTTTGCTTTTCCGGTTGGGTGTTTTTTGCTTCCTCGCATTTCAAATCTTTGACTTGATTCTTGCGCTCCTCTGGTCTGCTGTTGGGAGTCTGTATAATATTCTTTATTTCAGTCAGTGTATGCTTACTTTCTAGTCGGTCCTTTATCACACCATCGAGGGTCTCATTAGATTTCCTGTA